GCCGGTAGTTATTGATGTGTTCTCAAACTTAGATCGTTAGCATACCGTTAAATAATGCCCTTCTCGCACTGCATTCCTTGTGTGTTTATCGTTATATACACCCAACACACAAGCGCTGGCTACCTTATACTGCCATCTCTATCAGCACCTTTTACGTTATTATCTGTTATATGACTGCTTTGCTCTAATTCTCCCTTTTACCTCTTGTGTTCCTTTTCTCCACCTGCATCTAGAAGAACTTCTGGACTCCTTGTCTGTTATAATTGATGATTTAGATTGACTGAAAATGTTGTGGAAAAATTGTACAAATTGCATTCCACTCTTGTGCAGCCCAATGTACTCAGATGCTACAGAACTATGTAACTGGTAAAAGAAAACTGACCATATGTTTTTTTCTCTAACTTACAGAAAGAACCTCCAGATGCTGATTATTGCATGGATCGAACAAGCAGGCTGTTTATTTAAGCAGTTTTTTGTTACTGACAGTGAAGTCTATATACTATTGATGAAGTACAAATACAAATGGCTTACAGCTCTTATGATCAGTCTGGGGTAGTGTGAACTATTTCATGGACACAGAGCCTGGTGCTTATGATAGGGACATATCTTCCAAGTTTTAATAACCCATACCACTCATATTTGGCAATGTAAATATCCTTGTCTTCTCTTGACACATGATAAAGTTGTGGATAAATTTGTTGAATTGAGGAAAAAATTACGAGTTGCAGTTGTTTATACTATAAGTGATGTATATAATTACTCTAATACTAACACTAACAACTTACATATGACACCAGAAGATGTAGAGGACTAATACTGTTAATTTTACTATGTTAACGAAGTGGTAACTTTTCCTATTTTTTTATCTCTTTTGTGCTTTAAAAAGTTCTTAATTCAGTACGATAACTTGGAATTTTACTAATTGGAGCGTTAGCAGCTTCTCCTTGTCTTTTGTAACTCAGCTTTCGAAACCCAAAGACTAAGTGCTTTTTTGAGTGTAGGAAACGGCTTCGCATAATTTTGGCTTTGGTCGACTCGGAATCAATTAATAACCAATATGATTGATTTTTGAGACTGTCGATTCACCAATTCCGAATTTTGTGACAAGTTCAGCTTTCTCAGCCGTTATTAGTGTGACTCGTTTGCCTTTGCCAATAGATGTACCCCTCTTTCAGTTTCCTTTCGGATTAATCGTTATGCGGAGGTCTCACAACATACTAAAATAGGAAATTTTGGACTCGGTATTTTTTTGCACTCACACATATTTATTAATCGTCTATTGATGCTTGAAATTTAGTAGGAGTCGTTCACATTACTTTATCTTTTCCTAATTTGTATTGTTTTGATTTCGCTTTCTTGATACGAACACGAATCTTTATTAGGGAATACATAAATAGGGGCTAGTTCAAGAGAGCGACAGCAAAAAAACTTTTTTGCGATGTCAAAAAGTGCTGCGAGTTATCAAGAGAGGCTTTCTTATAAAATCTCGGTACAAACGTTCGAGTCCCCGAGTTACAAGTATCAAAGAGAAGAGAACGGCGACGTATACATAATTGACATGTCGGGTCATCCTGAACATAATGAAAGTTGCTTCACTATTGATAAGTTACTTCAATGTTCCAAACAACCAAGTTTTCATCGAAGGGTTGAGAACCACTTGCAACAGCATATTCTGAAACTTAACTCTGAAAGTATAAAATGAACGTTATGCAACGAGGCGCACCAAGGAAAGTCTTTATTATCCAAGCCAACATCGAAACATCATGCCGAGAGTAGGTGGAACATCTCGAGTTTTGCGAAGCCACCGACGGTCTCCCGCGCTCATAAGAATTCCAGATTGCCGTTGCCCTAGGTGTATAAGGGGCCGTCGAGCGACAATTTATGATTTATACGATGTCCTTGTCATCGATTCGCTCGCTATCGGCCAAGACGGGCAATTGCACGGAACACTTGGTACAATACGTCTGTGTTGCAGAGACGGCATATCAATTAGCAGTCGCCTCTACTTAGGCCGTAATAAGACTTTGATGGAATTGCTTTTGTCCGGGCGAACGCAACTCTATCCCGTGTCGTTTTCGGGTCATAAAAAACACTTTCGCCGTCGCTATTCCCGAGGAGGGATACGCGAGGTGTTATATCTGTTTGGGGGACATCACGAGGAAGACCAGCTTCCGGTGCTAGCATATAAAAAAACCCAATCAGGGCATGCAGATATTGGATTTTTATTATTATCATGGTATTGGTGTGGGCAAAGCGTTTGTGAAGCAGCAGATATGGGAGTTTCAGCTAGCACATTCAAAAGATTTTGGATCGGTAATTCGTTATTGAGAACCCTTTTTTTAACATAGCCAGGTTTTTCATTAGGCATCGTGTACGTTTAATCGTTACATTCTTGCGATCGGTGTTTGTCCACCATTCTGTTCTCTTCTCGTTTTGATATTTATATCTTTTAAAATTTTGTCTTTTCTGGT